GGCTGCGTACCTGTGAGCTGCTCCCGGCGGCCGTGACGCTGGCGGCTTGTGAAGGCGGTGTTTTTCCTCTCCAGAAGGGAGTCTCTGCCTCTTCTACCCCAGTTAGGATTGTCCGTTGTTGCAGGAGTTCCTCTTATCCAGTTTTCAGTTCTGTCTCAGGGGTAATTTCTCCACAAGTAGTTGTAAATTGGCTGTGTCCATGGGAGGAGGTGAGTTCAGAGTCTGCCTACACCGCCATCTTGACTCCGCCTCCCTAAAAACATTTTTTAAAAGTCTATCTTACCCTTCCCTGACACTCACTAGTGCTTATTAAAGAGTCCGGGACAAAGTACATACCCAATGTATATCTGTTGAGTTGAATTAACTTGAATTACGCAAAAAGATGCAATAATGGAAGCAATATTATTAGTTAGAATCTAGAAGTCTCAGTGAGAACCACTCAACCACTGATGTTTGCATTAGTGGTCTAGAACTCCTCTGGAATATATGAGGCTTCTCCCCATTTATAGCTGCTGCTTGTTAGTCTTCCAAATTAAGTTGCAGAAAGGCTGTTTCTTGTGTAGAATCTACTAGTGACAATAAACTTGATATGTTTTCTTGAGTGGACAATGGGCATAGAGAGGATAATTTTATCCCTTCTTGCTTTAGGTGCTGAATATGAAGATCAGACCAGCCAAAGGGAGAAAGAAGATGATAAAGTCATTCCTGGTGAAAGTTATACCTATGTCTGGCAGGTTCTGAAAGAGAATGGTCCAATGGCCTCTGACCCTCCATGTCTCACCTACTCATATCTTTCTCATGTGGACCTGGTGAAAGACCTGAATTCAGGCCTCATTGGAGCCCTTCTGGTTTGTAGAGAAGGTAAGTGTAAGAAAGGGTATGAGTGAAATGAAATAAGCAGAGAAGTACAAACACCCGGGTCTATTCATAAAAAATAGCATTTGTGTTCTTTCATCTGAAAGAGGTTTCTTTTCCCTAGCATCATGCCCATGGAAAGGAGAATAATCCAGTCTCTGACAGGAACAGATGCCCATCCTATGTAGCCACAATATGCTCTAATAGTCAAGAAAAGCCAAGTTGTGGAATTAGGTCTCTCTTCTCAAAACACTGCTACTTTCTACTTCAAATGTCCTATGGGCTGTCTCAGTAGTGCCTTTTGTAAATGTTGCATTAGGTTCCTTGAAAGCTCCATGGAGGTAAAGACATCCAAGTGTGTGATCAATGGTGGAAAGACCAGTTCAGGAGGTTAGTTTTTCATCTGTAACCCAAAAGCTTATAAAAATATGAGAAAAGCAAGCATTTATTTATGTTTGTAACTTGTTATTCTAAAAATCATCTTAATTTTAACAAACCTGTTTTTAATTTATAGTTTAACAGTATAACTAAATTAGGGAAGTAAACTTTGCATAATTTATTTTAATCCCAATTTTAAATGGTGAAATAAGCTTCACTAGACCTTTTTGTGTTCCACTTATCTGTTACTGCATATCTCCATAATTTAGTGGCTTAAAACAACAACAATCATTTATAATTTCTCATGGTTTTTGTGGGTCTGTCATGGAATTTGGGACTGGTTTGACTTGGTGGTCTGTCTTAGGGTTTCTCATGAGGTTGTGGTCAAATAGTGGCTGGAGTTGAGATCATTCTGAAGGAAACTTTATTTATATGTCTGGCACCTAGGCTTGGAAGACTCAAAAAGCCAGAGCTCTCTCCACATGGTCTCTCCAGTATGGGAGCTACAGGGTAGCCAAATTTTTTTTTTCCTTTTAAATAAACTTTATTATCTTTTTAAGATTTTATTTATTTTTATTTTTCCCCCCAAAGCCCCAGTAGATAGTTGTATGTCATAGCTGCACATCCTTCTAGTTGCTGTATGTGGGACGCGGCCTCAGCATGGCTGGAGAAGTGGTGCGTTGGTGCGTGCCCGGGATCCGAACCCGGGCCGCCAGCAGTGGAGCATGTGCACTTAACCGCTAAGCCATGGGGCTGGCCCTAAACTTTATTTTTTAGAGAAGTTTTAGGTTCACAGAAAAATTGAGCAGAAAGTACAGAGAATTCCCTAATACCACCTGTCCCTCCCGCACAGCCTCTCTCACTATCAACATCCTGCACCAGAGCTGTACATTTCTTACAATCAACGAACCTACATTGACACATCATTATCACCTGAAGTCCATAGTTTACATTAGGATTCACTCTTGGTGTTGTACATTCTATGGGTTTGGTCAAATGTATAAAGTCATGTATCCACCATTATAGCATCATACAGAATAGTTTCACTGCCCTTACGATCCTCCACACTCCATTTATTCATTGTTCCCTCTCCTCCCCCTGGCAACCACTGATATTTTTATTGTCTCTGTAGTTTTGCCTTTTCCAGAATGGCATATAGTTGGGATCATACAGTATGTAGACTTTTCAGACTGGCTTCTTTCACTTAGTAATATGCATTTAAGATTCCCCCATGTTTTTTCATGGCTTGATAGCTTGTTTCTTTTTAGCACTAAATAATATTCTATTGTCTGGATGTACCACAGTATATTTACCTATTCACCTACTGAAGGACATCTTGGTTACTTCCGAGTTTTGGCAATTATGAATAAACCTGCTATAAACATCCATGTGCAGGTTTTTATGTGGACCTAGTTTTCAACTCTGGGTAAATACCAAGGAGCACAATTGCTGGATCATATGGTAAGAGTATGCTTAGTTTCGTAAGAAACCACCAAAGTACCTTTCACAGTGGCTGCACCATTTTACATTCCACCAGCAATGGATGAGAGTTCCTGTTCTCCACATCCTCCCCAGCATTTAGTGTTGTCAGTGTTGTGGATTTGGGCCACTCTCTAATATATGTGTCGTGGTATCTCATTATTTTAATTTGCATTTCCATGATGACATATGATGTGGAGCATCTTTTGAGATGCTTATTTCCCATCTGTATATATCTTGTTTGCTGAGGTGTCTGTTCAGGTCTTTTGCCCGTTTTTTTTTTAATTGATGTTTTAATAGTTTTTAACATTGTGAAATTTTGGGTTGTACATTTTTGTTTGTCCATCACCATATATATATCTCCCTTCACCCTTGTGCCCACCCCCCACCCCCATTGCCCCTGGTAACCACAGTCCAGTTTTCTCTGTCCATGTGTTGGTTTATATTCCACATATGAGTGAGATCATACAGTGTTTGTCTTTCT